AATGGTGCCTGTATCATAGCAGGGACAGTGTTCACTGGGCACACACTGCCCCACCTCGTTCATATAGGTTCCCTCAGCACAGCCACAGCCGTCCACTGGTGTGAAGCTGTCCTGGCAGGAGTAGTCAGGCTGGCTGAGGGAATAGCAAGTACGACCACAGGATGTCATGTCGTAATCATACACAGTTCCTGGTGCACATGATGTACTGTATTTGCCTGGTGGGAGAGAAAAGAGTTGGATGTTAGCATGTGTATGGATCTATGAGACGAATCAGATTTTTCATATTGATAAGTTGTTTGGTGTAAACAGGCAGGGAGGGGTCAGGCAGTGCAAACTGCAATTGCACCTAGTCTGGCAGGTCTTTGACAGTCCCCATTACCACTTAATAATTATTGCAATATTAATTGATGGTCTCTCTACATGTTCCAGACTAGAGATGATTCAGTACTATACAAACAATTTTGTATGTGCTGTTTTGTTTTTGTCTGATGTTTACCTCACTAAATCACTATTGTTTTCCCGCTGCAATAAATCAGTAATTTTATATAGTCTCATTATGTTGTTTTTGATATGTTGATGTTGCACAGTCTCTTGCAAACCAAGGCTCTATTACCACAGTAAAACAAAAGGGTCCCTGGTGTTTTGCTTACTACAGATGGTGTCCCTCCAGCCACTGAGCTGGATTCCAGCTGCTGCACATGCATAGACATATGAGGAGATGCTAGCGCACATGCAGTCCTCACTGTTCTCACAGGTACAGGTGTCATACTTGCATGACTATAAAGAAATACAGTGGGGATACACACATTATAAAGGCACAGTGGTTGAGTTTATTTGTCATTATAGCTTCATGTGTGCAGACTTACGTCCATGTGTGTTCTGGGGTTAATGACAGAGTGGCAAGGTGCAAACACTCCACTGGGATCTCCCAGTTGGGAGCACCAGTATTTGGCATAGCTCTCTGAAACAGAAGCACAAAATATCATATGTCTCCAAATGGCATAGTTAAGTCTAAAATTTGGTATATAATTTGAAAAATGTGGTCTCTTTCATGTAATATGCTTTCATATCATATGGCATGTTAAATTTTACATGGCAGTCATGCAATGAGGAGAGAGTGTGCTTGTACCCTTGGTGATACTCTGGCTACAGGGATTTCCAAAGTGTGCTCGGACGTCCTCACAGGGGACTCTGGCTTTCCATGTGTTGGCAAATGCTGTAGGAGTGCCCTCCACCAGCCCACTAGACGCCATGAAGTCATCACTCATTAGGTCGTTGAAATTCCCACACAAACCTATTGAATGAAGTGACGCATATGCACACAGATACAAATGTTTAACATGGTGAATTACTACAAAGCAAGACACTTTCCAATACTTTTTTCCAACAATAAGCTACACATAAAAATGTGGAAGGGGTTTTTTCCAGACATGAAAACAATAATATAAGGGCATACCAGTGGCGGTTCCTTTGAGTGAAGGGTCAGCTGAAATGAAGACCTGCATCACAGGGTGCATCTGGATCATCACCTGGATGCCCACCTTTGTCTGCATCAAAGTGTAGAAAGATGATGGCTTGAAGGCACTCAGGTCCGCTGCAGCAATCAGAAGAAAATATATTATATATAACATATATATACTGTACATAATTCCAGGAATTCAAAGTCAAGAGAATACACACTGCAAAGGCTATGACTCCCATTGCTATAGCGGAGCACAGTGGGTTTAAACACCTTGTTAAGGCCCTCAACAGAACATATTCTGAACATATTCTGACGAAAACATTTTTCCAAAACCGTGGTAACCAATATGTACAAAGCATGTCATAAAAAGGTAGCTGCTGAGCTGAAATCTGTTGAGCACTTTGCAGCCACAGCTGATCTCTGGTCAGGGAGGACCATGGACCTGTACTTGAGCCTTACTTTGCACTACGCTGACGATGAATGGAAGCTATGTAACAGATTCCTTGAGATGGCATATTTTCTGGTTGTTTACACATCAGAGATGAATGCACTGGGCCTGAGAAATGTGCATTCTGCATGGGAACTCACTGAAGAGCACCTAAAGTAAATTATGACAGACAACAGTGCTAATGTTGTCAGAGCTGCAGAGCTCAATGGTTAAACAGGGCGGCAATGTTTTGGACACAGGCTGCGCCTGGCGGTTGCTATGTGCTCATCAGTTTAGCAGACACAGTGCTAATCTAAATTAAGATGCCTGGGTGGTGACTGGCTGCCATATTCTTTCTCTTTGCTTGTATGAGTCTTAAATGACAATGTCTACATGCCTTGTTTTTTTTTATTCTGCTTTTCTTTTCTGTGCTGTTGTTAAGCACTACAGAAGCACCATTAGTGCAAATAAAATTTGCTCTGGAAGTGTTATTAATCTGATATTATTAAAGTAATTTAGAATTAAGAGATGTTTCTCTTTTATTCATTTTGCTGGAGCTATACAGTTTGTAAAATGTTCAGGTATAACTGTCAGTAATCCAGTAATTAATAAATGTAATGAACCAAAAACTAAATCAAAATAATCCTTCATTAATCATAACAGAGGTAGAATGTTCACTTAATTGTGAGGGTGATTTGACCGCCCGGCGACAGTGTGCATGGAAAGTTTTCAGACCCTTTCATGTTTTCCACATTTCGTTGTGCTTCATAGTCATCTTAAAATGCATTCATTTCATTTTTCTCCTCATCAGTCTGCACACAATATTCCGCAGTGTAAAGTGAAAACAGGTTTTTGGACTGTTTTGTACATTTATGAAGAATAAAAGACTGAAATATCTAATTTTCAAAAGTATTCAGGCCCTTTCTGTCATTTCCATCATTTTACTGCCTTTTTTGTATTCTGCACTTGAGTAAATAGATTAGAGCCCTAACTAACAAATGACCTGAGTCTGAGGGGTCTTTAAAAATATTTTCATCTATTTTATTTAACATCTCTCAACTGTGTGTATTGAGTAGTATGATGTGAAATAACTCACGCATAAAAAGCGGAAGCTGAGAAGGAAGCCCGTTCATATAGATCTGCCCGGTTGCCTGGACTTGAGCAACCTGTCAGTTTGTGGAAAGACATATTTTAGTTGACATCACACATGAGTCCAACCATATTTATTTTACGCCTGCTTGATTTAGCATGTGGGTGAGGTTTAGAAAACTTTGAAAACTTTCAGACAAGTCATCAGTCACAAAACTCTAATGCCACTCTCCAAACAAGCTGGAATCAAAGCTACTGTATAAAGCATTTGACCTGGATCTATCAACCTGTATGTTATTGACTGAATAATGTATAGTATTATTTGTGTATGTGTGTATTTGGAACTTACCACAGAACCGTCATATAAGGCCAGAGTTACAGCTCTAAGGCAGGTCACTTGGTCAGATATACCACATTTGACGAGATCCACCAGCACAGCGTATTCACTGCCATTAGCTGGCTGCAACACACATGGAGACAGAACATTTCACCAACCAGAAACACTAATCTGTTTTAGGACAAATGCAAGTATCTTCTTTAAACATTAAAGAGGACCATCAAATAGCACCTTTCATTACCTCATATTATGGAGCATGATGATTCTCATGCATATATATTAGTGCTACGAAGTTTGATTCTTATGGTTACCCAGTGTATGGGTTACTAGGCAACATGAACTGAACCTTTCAAGTTTTTCAGCATCCACTGCATGAAAAATGTGACACACATGAACAGTGCCAGCAGCAGTGCATGCAGCTACTGTAAACCTTGAGTGTAAAACATGTGTAACTTTGTCACACAGTATTCAAGTGTGTTTTTAACATTTTTATGTTTGACATGCTTTCATTTATTTAGCTGGTAGTTAGTTTGGCATCATATAAAAGGTGAGTACACAGGAGAACGTGAAAGCCTTTGGCAGTGTTGGACTTTTGCACGCAACACATGGCTTTTTCCTAGTGTCAGTACGAACCAGCGTAAACTCAATTTGTATCGAAGCTGCTAAACATACTAGTATTTATACTGATGTGTTTATTTCGGAGCAGCACTAGCACATATTGTTTATCAGTACAGTGTCTGGTGTGTGTGTGTGTGTGTGGCAGTGTAGCACTTTCAGTAAAAAGTTATTTCAACATAACTGACCTGATGAAAATTACATTATTTCATTAATCTCAACACAGTTATGCAAAAATTCTTTGAATTAAACCTGTGCAAAACCTGTCAAGGGACATGACTTTGCCTTGGCTCAGTGTACTGTTCACTGTTAAAACATGTATATGTGAGGAGAGAAGAGAAGTAAACAGATTAGACTGTGTAATGATAAATTGAAATGCTCTCCTTATATAAAGTAAAGTAGGACAGGCTGCGTCAACCTGTGATGCCATGCCAGTGATGGTAAGAAGAACAGGGTGTACTGCTCATTAGGCTCCGCCAGGACACCGGCGTCTTCACTGACAAGAGTATTGCGCTGTCAACGAGATGTATATGCCTGCTAATAAAGCTGGCTTTGCCAGACAAAGAGCCCTCACATGCCATCTGAAAAAATGTCAAAACGTAATAAAACTAGTTAACAGCTTTGAGCCCGGCTCATAATCTCTGCCATCAGGCTCCGGACCAGCTGTCACTGCATAGAGTAGATCTCTGTTTCTGGAACTGAAAAGCTGGAGTGTCTCTCCTTTCATCTTGAACAAACTTAACCTGCTTTCTGCAATAGGCTACCCCCAAGAATGTAGCATGTCAGATAGCTTTAGCAACATGAACAAGCCGCAGTGTGAACACATTATCTTTACATGCTTAGTACGTTGACGGGAGCTAATGGTAAATGCCACAAATGGCTAAATAATTGTCCCATGCAGACTGACATAACTGTGTGTACTTAAAGTTCTTCATAGATGCACACAAGTCACATTAATGTACAGCTGCACTTGCCTCCACTCAAGTGCTCAGCAGTGCAGCTGTGCACGTTGGCCACAAGGGGACTCACATGCCGTCAACATTTGCAGCACTCACAGTGGTGAAAAATCTTTTAGAAAAATCCTGTATCCAAATTATGCGACAGATCAGAACCAGAATCCCATCAATTATTCTGTGGGCCGTGCCCTATGTCTCCAGAAAATTTCCCTAAAATCCGTTCATTACTTTTTGGGTTATGCTCATATAAACAGACACAAAAACAAACAAATGCTGGCGAAAACATAACCCCCACCCTTAGCGAAGGTAACAGCTGGATGTCGTGTTTACTGCAGTGTATTCCAGCTGTATTTGTATTGTTTGTGTCTACTGTGGTGTTGGCGCCATGGGGTAGCTCTTCTAAAAGTAGGCTTTTATGTCAGCTACTGTGTCTGTTTTAGCATATTTCATTTATCAGTCTTGTGCAGTTTTATTGCGTGTGTTTTGATAAATGCTAGTCAAAGCCATTTTGGAAGTCTAGCTGCCATAGTAAATGCATAATGACTCTAGGTATTTTATAGCCTCCCTTGTGCCATTCATTGCGAGGATGCGTTCATGCACTGGCTCCTGTTCCTTTGGATGGCTTTTGTATTTCATTCAGTAGTCTGTGATTAGGCTTGCTGAGCAATAGGGTTACCTTGCACTGCTGCAGCCAGGGCAAGAGTTTGACTGAAGTGGCACTTGCCTGTGTGTAATACTGTGTTATGTGAGATGCAGTACATGTTTGTTTCACTGCCTAAAACAGCTTAGTGTACTTGTTTCAAAACATTGTGAGATTCATTGGCTGGAGGAACTTAAGACCAAGAATTCTGAAATCCTAATAGTATTTTAGCAGCTGGTAGTTCTTAAACAGTGGTTTCAGAGAGGTCCAGACCTAGACCAAAATATAGCCGGCTGTCTCTATCCCTAGCACTTATAAACATCTCACAATTGATCCCCTAAATTAATTGCTACACACCTTTTTGTATGGCATACACAAACTAATCCAAATTTTGGAAAGAGCACTGACTTTTTTTCCCCACAGATCATGAAAGATGAAATAATCTGTTGTTTATATCGAATGCTTTTTTTATGAATATTTTTTAACCACATCAGTTGTATTGCTTTTTAACTGAGACCTCCGTAAAGGCACCCAAGTTCTCATCTTACCAGGATCTGCATTTGTGGGAGTATGATTCCCCTGACTTGTAGACTTTTTTTTTGTGCAGACATGGACACTGGTCCATAGCAACACAGCCAGTCTTTGTGATGTCATCATAGACCATTCCTGAGGAGGAGAGGAGAAATAATATTTACTTTATTTATGTCCATACATGAAATAGCAAAAGCTTTAAAAACTCCAGCTCTGTCAGGCTTAGGCTAAATAATGTATTAAATCCACAAGGTTGCAATCTATCTGTACTTCATTCGTCTATCTGTCAGTTTTTCCAGTGTTTGTCATGAGATATGACTTGCATATTCCTGCATTCTAGCATATACATAGTGTAAAATGTGATACCGTCAGGGCAGCTGCAGCCAGCCCGGTTGTGGCTGTTACATGTTTGGCTGGCATGAGGGTTGGAACAGCTGTCAGGACACGAACTTCTGTATTCTGAGTACTCCATGTTGTATGGACATCCCATGTCTGTGGAGACAAACCTTTACTGTCACTATATCAGTGACAAATAGAACAATATTGCAAAACATGAGGTAAACAACGCTGCAAAAAAGTTGAGTCATATTTAGTTATTGGCATCCTTACAGCAAAATGTTTCATTCCTCCATTTTTGGGGCTGGCCACCTGCATGGCTACACTCTCTGGAAAACTCTGAGATAGTATAGCAGGGGACAGAGTCTTTGTTGTCAGTAAAGCACATATCAGCCTTGCAGGCTTGTCTGAAGGCTTGCATATCCAGGAGGTTTTGGCAACTGCTGAATGGAGCATTGGAGAAGATCTGGTCACAGAATTTCTGTGGGGAAAAAAACAGTCAATAAGCTATAAAATTTCCGTTTGGAATCCTAACAACCTTTAGATATTTTTCTTCTCAAACTGGCTGAATGAATGTCACTTTCGGCTTTTTTCCTGTTAGGGGTCGTCAGTGTTGACATTTGGCATGTGTTTTATGCCAGATGCCCTTCCTGGCGCAACCCTGATTTGGACCTAGGCTGCAGTGGATTTCAGATTCAGGATGGTGTATGAGTATAATGAAGGTTGTATATCCAAAAATAATTGGAAAGTGAGGCCTTGTTATTTGGGTTGTAGGTAAATTTCACTGCATCCGCTCCACTAAGTTTGTATTCTGCTTGTTCAAGAGTTGTTTGTTACTGGCTGATTTTTGCAGTATGGAATGATCCTTCACATCCTCCGCTCTCCCTGTTGTCAACTGCATATGTTAGGGCTGTCATTTTTTATTTGAATTTTGAACATCCGTTTGAACATGGTAAAAAAAAAAAAGCAGTTCAGACTGTACTGACCTGTTTAAATCCAACAATGTAAGCTATGTCAATAAGCACAACAAGCCATTTGATGTCATTTGCCTTGTGGGCCAATGGAGGACGTTCTTAAATTTCACTATCAGCTTCACCAGTCATATGTCCTGTTGACCTTTCAGTAAAGTAAGCTAGTAACCTTATGTTTGCAAGGGGCAGAATGCAGGATAATAGCAAGCAAAGTTGTGCTTTTATATAAATTTTGTGTAGGCATTATTGGTTTGGGATATGTATGTGAAGCACTTTGTGCCCTTTTATGAGCTGTAAAGTGCTATACAAATAAACTTATTATTATTATTATTATTATTACTATGCAACCTCATCACCAACTCCCCTGGTGATGCTGACCATCTGACAATCTTCTTGTTATTATTTGCACTACTGTCACTGTTTGCACATGGCTTTGAGTTTCTTCATAGCCTATTAGGTTGTACCATCTAGTTTTATCCTAATTACTTTTCTTATTCTATTTATTTTATGTTTGTTCAACTTTTATTCTATTTTAGTTTCTTAAATGGTATGGGCATTCGATATTAGGTGAGAGAGAAACAGTATTTCGATTTTTCTGTATGTCCTGCACATATAGTGAATTGAAAATAAAAATCTTTGATCTCTTGATCTCTTCCTTGAGAGCTTTGCCCAGCTCTCACTGGATTCCTGTTTAGTGACCTTGACTATAATCACACAAAATATGAAATAATATTACAGTAATGACAGTAATAGTACAGTTACTGAGAAAATTAGAGGCAAAGTTCCACTAATTATTTTGTAACTGACAGTGTCCTCATATTTGGACTTCCTTCAGGTGTGCTCCAACTCTGACCTGGCTCCTGCTCAGAGTGACTTTCGCTGTGATCACACAAAATGTGAACTAATATTACTGTAGTTAATGAAAAAATTAAAGGTAAAGTCCCCATAATTATACTGTAACTGACAATGTCCCCAGACATATCCCACTCATGCCTTTCCACACACACAGCCTACCCACGTGGCAATGTCAGGACCTCACTTCATGTCTGAAATGGGTATAAGCAGCTTATTACTTTTTGTGTGAGAATATTTTTAAAATAGATATGCAGAGTGTTGTTTAACCAGCAAAACTATTTATGCAGAGCTGGTCTAAGTGGCCTAAGCCGTTGTGAGCATTTATATGTGTGTCATGGTGTGCCTGCATCACAGGTTTTTATGCTACTGTGCTGTGTTTTTGCCACTTACAAACAATTTTGACTAAAACTGAGCAAATCATGCTGAAGTAAAACCTAATAAATACTGAGCAGTTACTTTTAGTGAAATTCCTCCAATTAAGATGAAATTACTGCAATGCAGAGAGGAAATCGAACTGAGGCAGAATGAGCAGAGAGGTGCGGAGCTTGTCTGACCACTGAGAGACATGAGCGAGGAAATGTCATGTAACCAATCACAGCTGTTGTGGTCTGTGTTACCACCATGTGTAGCTACAGTTCTGGGGAGGTGCACATAATTTTGACAACATCACAACTTCCGAGCTGACAATCTTTCATGCAACCCTAGTGATCTTAGGGGTGAAGCCCCCCTTAGGGGGGGTTCCCAGGTTGGGAACCATCACTCTAACCACAATGCTCTTTTTAATTTCTGCACCTATATGATAGCAAGGACATTTCCTTCAGCCACAACTTAATGTGATGTTTAATATAAATATGTTGGAGGTATAACAAACAGTGAAGAGTTACCTTATCATCACAGTCCTGTTCTGGGGCTTGGTTGGGCTCCTCACAGCTCTCTGTTGGTCCATTCACCTGGTAGAATGCACCATATTCTGTGGGAGACAGCGTAACCCCTGCAGTACAATCACACAACAGTGGTCATTGTGATTATTCATCCCAGTGTCTTGCTGTTGAATAAAAACTTTCAGTGCAGTTTAAATCCCCCTTTTCAATAATTTTGCAATAAGTTGCAGGAAACAGAACTGCTTTAATCACCAAGCATACAGTATACACAGGAATTTGACTTGGTGCTATATCACAGTGGGAAATAGAAAAGTAAGGAACAACTGGAATAACAATAGGACAAACCCAATGATAAGAATAAGAGCAGAATAATAATATCAGCAATGAAATAATAATAACAAGAATAATACACATACAACTTAAATAAGAATACATATAAAATAAAGTACGGACTATTATTGCAAAATGTACTGCCTGTTGCACAATAAAATCCATAAGATTGGATTGTACTGTTTTAGATCATTGATTAAGTGAATGTGGGGGACGTTATGATGGCTAATGTTGGCGTTAGAGGGTGCAGAGATAGGTTGCTAAGGACAGCAATAGCCCTGGGGAAAAACAGTTCAGGTGTCTAGTGGTCCTAGTCCTGATGTCGACTGGTGACTCACACAAGTGTATGTATGTATGTATCTATGTTAATGTATGTATAAAAATTATTCTCAGATGTTTTAATGTATAAGAATTTATTTTGCTTGTTCAAAGTCAGCCTGTACTAATAATCAGTGTGCATCACTAGCTTCAGGAACCTTAACTAAGAATTTTTGCATCCTTAAGTCAAACTCTGTGGCAGTTTTTAATCCCATTGTAGTTCATACAACAGCAAGTACAAGCTTGTAAAAGAAGGGCCCATCCTCTTTCCTGAGTCTTATAGACTGTTTACTCATTTCTTTTCAGTTTTAAGTGGAAATTAAAAGCTACAGTGTATTATCCCTGAATAATACTGAAAAAGATCTTACCATCTTTAAATAAATCATCTGGCTTGCCGTCAAAGTTTCCGCAGAGTCCAGAAGCCTGGTTCCTGAATTTGTCATCTAGTTCAACCTGTGAAAATACCCCAAACATACAGCAGTTATTGGCAAAATCACAAGTAGGGCATTATTTATGATCCAAAGCAGGTTTATAATATTGCAGTACAGTACTAGTAAAGGTATGAAATATGTCACTCTATGTAATCCATTTGGACATTTGAGCAGGCCCCACTCAGATTCACATCAAAACATGTGGCTCATGTGGCAGAAAGGATTGGAAAATGGTTTAAATTGTGTGGGGAACCATGGTGTCCAGTGTGGTGTGTGTGAGCTCTGAAATGGATAAAGGTTTTGGCTTTAGCACTGTTGGATATTTGTCATAGCAGAGCAAACCATTTGTTTTCCAGCTGGCACATGGTCTGTCATTTAAGTGTAACTGTTAGAAATTAATAAATTAGTCAGATAATTATTAGACTTTAATGTGTTAGACTTTAATGTGTGTTAATAATGCAGTTTAGTAAGATTCAAAGTCTGCTCATGTGTGCTCTGCTTCAAGGTTAGAAGATAATGTTGATTCTGAAAAGTGTACCTGCACCAGTTGTTTTCTTGTATTAATCTTGTTTTAGATTTATGTCTGAATGAATGTTTTAGTTACACATCATGCATACAACATACACACACATGGAGTTCTTCATTTTGTTATGACTAGGTAATACGCAGCTGCTCCAAGCATGTGGAGCTCTAGATAAGAGATGGAGTCTGCGGGACGGACTTCATCTGTGTAAGGGGGTTAGCCCAAAACTGAAAAATGTATTAGGCTCTGTGTTTCTGTGTGCTTTTTCCCCTGCTCTCTTCTCCAGCAGCTTGTCTGAAATAATATATAATATATAGATAATATATAGATAATAGATAATATATTTAACAATGATATTGAAAGCAATATGAAAAGAGGTTGCAGCAGGGAAGTGCTTGTTACGTTGTATAGTATTTGGGATTTTGGCTTTATAGACGTTGCTGCATTTAGTGGGATATAAGACTGCTGTGTTTATGTATAAAGCCAGGAACAATTTATTACCTGGTGGAATTCAAAAACTATTTAATGAAAGGGAAGGGGGATACAATTTAAGGGGTCAGTTAAATTTAAAAGTTCATGCTATACAGTACATACAACCAAAAAAAGATTCTGTAATAATGGAATTATTATGCAGGCTCACCACATCTCAATTTGTCAGTACGTTTAAAACCCCGTGAAAATACACCTGGACACAAAACTGACAGATCTGTGTGCATATGTGAGGGTGTGCTTCATACCTCCAGGGAGTCGTCCTCGTTCAAGAAAATGTTGATTCCTATCTTAGCTTTGAAACTGAATCCAGATGTGGTCTGTATGGCACTCACATCAGCTGTGACAAATGGCAGAGACACTCTGCAGCAAACACAGAGAGGACATGGGAAAATAAAACAGAAAGCAGAGGCTGACACAAAAAATCATGTTCCATTGTATTAACTGTGTCTCAATGAATGTCAGTGAAAAAAGACAGCAAGACTTTGTATAATACAGTGGCCTCTTTTTTTTCTTTCTGGCTTCTCTTCATCTATCCTTTCGTGAAGTCACCGAAATTCAGTTTGCACTTGCTCAAGTGGTATTTGGTGAAACAATAACAATAGGTCACTTTTTTGTCACAAATCAAAGTATAAGTTAAAGTGTCAAACAGACACATTACTACTGCAGGGATATACGTTTTATCTGTTTTTGCCTGTCATGATGGTTTGATCAGCTTTGAAAGCAGCTGTAGGTGGAGATAAAGTGGGCGACACATCCACTAGCTGTGGACCACGGTCAGGTTCACCACAGGCACAGTGATTACAATACAGTATTGTTGTATTACTTTAAAAACAGTGAAATGTTTATAAAGTTACATGTGAGACCCCTGTGGATTTCACACACTGGATGCCGCTGTGAGTAAATTATGCTATGTAACTGCGACTGGTTACAGGAACAGAGACTTTCTCTCTTCCACGCACAAATGCTGGTCAGTGATACTAGCAGACTACTGAGTGAATATTTATGTGCAGTACTTCTACTTTGCCACTGTCAGTCTAGGAATGGTGCACATAACTGGAGGGAGAAGAAGATCCAGGGAAAGAATCTCTCATATATTTCCATGTCATGATATGACTGATGTCAGTCAATCAGGGCATATAGTAGATGAATATACATGTGCTGTTCTGTTTTAAACCATGGATGACTAAGCCCTCATTTACAATGGATGCGGCTGCATTGCATTCCATCTGTGACACGGTTTTGATCTTTCTTCTGTGCGGCTTCATCCCCCGCTGGGTCCATCTGCAGATCAGCTTGTTGTGGTGCTGATTTTTCATGTGGGATACTGTTCCTTGTTTTTGAGCTCCTACAGTAAGGAGGCCCAGGCTTCGTTGTTCAGTGGTTTCTATTTTGTCTGTTAATTGTGTTTATTGTTCTTATTTCCTCTGTGTTCTTATTTGTTCTGTGTTGTGCTGTAGCCTACAGATTACAGTTGTTATGAGACAGGGAACAAAGATTCTTGGCTGCTTCAGGTGTTAAAAACAAGCTACATTCATCTGTCATGTATTGGGTTAAGGTGGTCACATGTCTAGGAGAAACAGGAAATTAGGACAATACGGACAGCCTGGAGATGTTTTGTTCAGATCTTGTCCAAGAAATAAAGCCAATAAAATGACAGAACCTCCATATCATGATTAAATACAGGAAGCTCTATCCTATTGATTAGGAAGATAGGCACAGGCACACAGCATCACTCTAATCATTTTGTACCCTGTCTGTGTTTCACATTTCGTTCGGGGGAAGTGCTATCTGATTGGTGGGTTGATCATTGTCAGAAGTGTCCCACGTGATACGTGAAAATAGACTAGATGTGTATCTTTAGCAAAGCGGACCAGAGAGTGGCATGTGTGACCAGTCGGCTCCAGCAACTGCATCACAGACAGAACACAGTGCAGCCACACCTGGTTAGGGATTAGGATGTCAAACTACTGCTGC